AATCAAAGACAATAAATCATATGGTTTAAAGATAACCTCAATTAAGTATTTCACAGAGAGAAATTGACATAATGTCTCCTTGTTTGATTTTTCTATTATTTTTTTTTCTAAATGAGCAGGGTAAAGGGTAGATTAAGGCTAAATAATGCAGTTTTTCCATGTAATCCTGTTGAGTTCGCTGTAGTTTTTGGTGTGAAAAGGCATCCCAGCGAGCGAAAAACAGAAATAAAAAAGAAAAACTGAGAAAAGAAGAAGATTTTTCCTGCTACTAACCAGTGCGCGCTCCCTCTGGTACAGCAGCTTGAGCAGCCCCTGAGGACGAAGCACCAAAAAAAAGGAGTCAGGCTAAATAAAGGGGGCGGAGCCACCAGGAGGACTAGGGATGGGGATCGAAACCCGGTTCTATCAAGGACCCGGTTCCACTTTTTTCAAAACCCGAAAATCAATACCGTTTGGGCTTATCGATACCACTATCGAGTCTGGTCGTTTTTTTTATTATTACAATAGTAATTGTGAAATCCGTGTTGTAATCTGCAGCATACAAGCTAATTAGCTTGAAAAGTAAATAAAGTTTCAGACGTGTTCAGATTGGCTCAGTAAAACGACAATTAGGTTATCATGACGCGTTCAAGTGTAACGTAAAGAAAAGGGAAAGTGAGTTTTTGGCGAGAAACATGAGTAATACAGTTGTATATTGCTCTAATTATTTTAGAATATATAATTAAACTACTGATGCCAACATTTATTAAAAATTTAATTTAATTTAAAATTCAATTATTTATTTGCTAAATATTTTCCTAATCACTAAAAACATGATGAAAAGTGACAGTAGACAATACATTAACCAACAATTGTGAAAATTTATATATTTTTTTAAACCAAAAGAAGACATTTCTTCAAAATATAGGACATTTCTTCATATAATTTTTTTCCCCACTTCCTTTCTGTCTGAGGAAAAAATTTGGAGGACCTTGTAATGATTTGTTTTTAATTATAAGTGAAAATATATCTACCATTTGTTTCCCATCAATTTAGATGGTGTTCAGCTCACCATTAAAGGCTAGAAACGTTTTTGTTATGCTCACTTGTTAAGCAATAAAAGCAATACCAGTTCTGTTAAAAACATATTGTCGCATCGTCTTTCCACCAAATAACAGAAAAGTATCGATAGTGGTATCGATAAAGACTCGGATCGATAAGGAGTATCGATGAAGGTATCGATATCGATAAATATTAACGATCCCCATCCCTGAGGAGGGCGGGGCTGAGCGGCTGCTACCGTGTGGTGGTCGGCGTGCAGGTGCGAGATGAAGACGGTGGAGATCTTGGCCAGGGCCTCGTCCACGCCGTCGCCATAGTGACGGCAGAGCTGGCCGAAGGTCCCCTCGCCACAGTCCAGCAGCAGGGACTGGCCCGCGCTGCACACAGGCCAGGGAAAAGGGCAAACGGTAAACTAAACCTGTTGTTTGTCGCTTTTTTTTAAAGATTTCTGGGCGATAAACCACAACTAAACCTGTTTTAGCCTTTGAGTCAACCCCCAAAACAAATAGGAATATGTTGCTATTTGTTTTTTCCATTTAATCTGACCTTTTCTTCCGAAAAATAGTCAAAATCGACCTGTTTTTACCCTTTGAGTCACCCCCCCCCGAAACATTTTCTTCCAAAAAAATAGTAAAAATAAAGTTATTAGATTTGATTTGATTTCCATCATTGATCAGTAAGTTTGATGACATTTATTAAAAAAGCTCCTACAATTAGCAGCTTTTTAGCAGCTTTTAGTTTTTTCGGTCGCTATTTTGCGCCCTGTTATTCCTCACCTTAATTTTCCTCTAATGAAAGCTTCTATCCTTTTATGTAAAAAAAAACATCTGTTATTATTCTGTTATTATTTCTATCTATTTGCAGTTTGAAAACATGGCTGTGGTCTGTTGCCAGATTCCCTCTAACAGGATGATGCTGCCACCGCCGTGCTTCCATTATCATTCATTATTTAATTAAATCTCTTCTTTCAGAAGTCTGAGGACACTTCTGTGGACCCTTCTTGATTCTGAATTATGACTGATTAATTATCAAATTAAAGGGCTCAGCATCTTATTTCCTCTTTTAAGGAAAATGATGTGAAAATGGGTCATTCTAGTTTTAAACTTATTTTTAAATAAACTTTTCACTTGGTTATTGAGCCATTTTGGATGAAAGGCAGGAAAAAGCTGGAGAGCCTCCTGTTTCAGACCCTAAACGTCCTGTTTCTACCAGCCTGACTGTACTCTGAACAGCATTTAGAGGAAAAACAGACATAATGAGCCGAATCCTAAAAGAGGGGCACCTGATGTTAGAAAGCCCAGTTATTTTCTGTTTGACATTGTTTAGTATATTTTCTCTTCGGTTAGTTTCCATCTGTCTGACGCTCCTGAACGCACCATAGGCGTTCCGACGCCGCTGATTACACCGCACCTGCGTATGAGATGCGTAAATGTTTTTTGCTTGTCTCCTACCACCGCGTACAGCTTGTCATTCTGTGCTTTATAATTATATATCCGAACCCTAGTGGACTATTGGTGCGTACATGACAAAATAACCACTTATGTCTAAGTAAAGCTGATCAGATCAGACGTCTGCCTCCGTGTCTTTTAACGGGGACACACCCCATACCTCTTGGCCGCTCTAACACCAGCAATTTTCGGGAGAACACTAACGTTCTCCTATTTACCTGATGTTGACCAGGGTCCCGCTGACGTTCCGGATCTTCATGGGAAGCGCGGACCCCGTTCCCAGGAAAACCACCTCTGGGTAAGCCTCTCTGGGACCGGCTGCAGAGGGAAGAAAAAAAACACCCACAGAGACTCAGAAAAAGCAGGAGACGTTTAAAAAGGTGGGGACAAACGTTTGGGAGTCCGGGGCTGACCGGAATGCTGCGATCCCAACTCCCTGCACTTCTCCACCTCCGCCAGGAAGTTCGGGACTTCCGAGGCTTCCTTCACAAACTCCTCCGGGTTGCAGGACGGGATGGCATCCCTAAAAAAAACACAACCAGAGTCAGTGGGATGGAAAAAGGAGCTTCAGGTCCTGCGTGTTTCCCGGCTGGTTTTCCGACGGGTTTCCCGGGAATCACGCAGGACTCTGTGTTCGGGAAGCAGATAAGCTGATTGGGACAGTGTTTTTCAACCTTTTTTGAGCCAAGGTACAGTTTTTCATTGAAAAATCTCGAGGCACACCACCAACCAAAAATGTTAAACAAATCTG